TGTATAAAGCAGCAAAATGTAAATTACAATAAGTTAAAAAGTAAGATTTAAAAAGCTGTCCATCAATGGTTTTTTTTGTTTCACTTCAATAACATTAAGATTCAAAGATTTATTAAGTAAAATCACACCAAACTCGATTTTTTTTCTAATTAATCAAAGCTTAAGGTACAAAAATACAGTAGCAAACGCAGTGTAGCTTTAAAAAAGTACATATAACGAAAAAGTAATCGAAATTTTAATGCTCCAAACAGAGAAATAGTGAACAACTAATGAATCAAAAAATTACCACTTAAAAGCTTCCAAGTGGCTCTGAAACTATTTTTCAAGTTTACCAAAAAAAGAAAAATTTTCAAACCAAAGAAATAATACAAATTTGTTAAAAATGATTTTAGAAATAATTGTATGTCAAAACGCAACAAATTACATTCTGTGCTTGAAAGTTATTGCCTTCCCAGAAGCAAACTTTGGGATTAATCAACAAAAATGAACTTATAATAGCTTTGCTCTTTTTAATAATCCTTGAAAAGAATAAAAGCTAAAATTGATTGCAAGTTAATATTGTGAAAATTTCTGCTATATGTTTCGGAGCTGCAACTGTATTATTGAAATCTTTATCAAAAAAGATTAAAAAAATATTTCCACACTGTATAGAAGATAAAAGTTTAAATTTCAAACTTTCTCAACAAAGGACACCTAAAATGTAACAAACTAATATTGCTGAATGCTGAATTTAAATATCAGAGTTCTGTCCAAAATCGTTCACTAATGGGTATGACGTAAAATTTTTAGCTGATCCATTTAAGATGACTTTTTGTCGAGGATCCAGCTGAAATTTGGCATTTCTTTGTTTTAAAAATTGTTATAATAATAGATGATTGATATTTAAAATATTTTTACCGAAATAAAGAATCCTATCGAAAATACAAACTTGATAAGCAGACTATACGATAAATTGTAAAATAGAAATATATGAAGTCTGAATTTAAGATATATATTTTTAACAACAGTAAAAGCATGCGTATTTTTTAGTACTTTATATAAAAATGAAGTTTTAACCTCACGTTGCTTGGGTGGGTGGTGTCCATTAAGAGAAAAAGTGTAAGTATTTTGCTGATGTGTTGAAAGATTGGTATATCTGATACATGGGTGAACAATTGGCCGTAGAAGGGAAATGAATGCTGCTCGAAAGCTGTCATTAATCAATGCATACATGATAGGATTCATGCATGCAGATGTCATGCCAATAAAGTGACAAAATAAATATCTTAAATAAACATAAATCAGATAAGAAATGACAATATATTGCTCTGTGAGTATTTTTCATTCAAATTTTTAAATTTTATCTTTGAAATGAAAAAAGTTTGACTTCATAAAATGCACATTTATGTGATTAAAACTTGATTTTGTTCCAATAGTCACTTTTTTTTACTCATCAAATATGTAAATAAATTTACCTGTACTGCGAGAATTCAATTACGTTGAGAACATTAAGTACATTATAAGCATTCATTGGAAACCATGCTACAGCATAAATTAATACCAGTAACAACAATAACAACAAAGCTCTTCTGCAAATCAATAAAGAGTTTTAGAATTATTTTTATACAACTAAGAAAAATGAATTACAAACCTGAAATTTACATTCTATTTTCTAAAAATTACTGATTCATAAGAAAATAAAGTGCAAAAGCAGCAGTGCTTTGGTAATACTTCCACTTATATAAAGAACAAAATATAATTATGAAAAATTTTGCAGACTTAATAAGATACACGAACGTGATTCATGTTTTGAATTAGCATTATTTTAAAAAATACTCATTAAAAAACCATTATACCACCTGTTTCTTTGAAGCATAAGTCGTCGGCGTTGTTGATTTACAGTTGTACTGGTTTCAATACGTTTACGAATAGCGGAACCAATTTGTAAATAACTAAACGCTAATGCTGCAAGTGGTAATAAATACTGAATAGCCAAAACAGAAAGTGTATATGTACGTCTTGAAAATGGCAATCGATGCCATGTTTTTTCAATACACATCTGTGGTCGTTTACGTCCACATACATGAAGCTGAAATACTTTTGAATAACAAAAGTGTAATATCTTTAAAATGTTTACAAAGACATTTTGTCGAAAAATGAAACAAAATGGAATAAAATTCTTTGATTTTTAATCTAAAATTTCTACATAATTTTGCTTGTAAGTCATACCATGACTTGAACATATTTTTGATTCCATGGCTCAAGCATTACATCTTCGGAATTGACTGCAAAAAAATATGGTGCAGCTACTATAAGTGATGTAATCCAAACGATGCAGTAGCACAGTATTGGAGCTGTTGCAGCAAGCCTCCTATAACTATTACTGTTTCATACTTTAATATGATTTCATCGTTTCATTACGATGAATTTCAAGAAATTTTACTCAAATATAATTAAACTTTGTTATGCAAATAAAAATTATTACCATTTAATTGGACATAAGGTTAGCAAAACTCGATCCATAGCGATGAGTACAAGTGTCATGCACGACACAAACATATTTACAGCTTGCACCGAAGCTAACTGAATTCATTAATAATTTATTGGTGGAAGTCATTGTAGGGATTTCAGATTGCAAGCAATTATTAAACAAAGAATTTTTCCATTATTTTATTTTATTTTTGTTTTTTTGAGCATCATCAGGCTACAAATAAATACATATGAGATACACAATTGTTAATTATTTGATAAAATAAGCAGTCTGACCACCAGATTCGTAAAATTCTATTAGTTATGTTTGTTTATTTTATTCAATGCGCTTTTTATCATGTTTTATCTGTGAAAACGGTTTATTTTTGATTTTTGATTGATTCAATTTTTCATCTAATAATGATTAATTGATAAACGAACCGCCTGACATGCGAATTTCCCAAATGGCCAAAACAAATTTCTAGTAAGATAAACAGTGACTGGTGCAGTAATAACGCAAAGCAAGAAATCAGACACAGCTAAGTTTGCAATAAAGTAATTGCGTAAGTTACGCAGATGTGACGTACGCAAAAATGCAATCAAAACAAATAAGTTGGCTATTGCTCCAAAACAGCACACTAAACCATATAATAGTAGAACATAGTTTTCACCACGATGTCGCCATAAAAAATTATTCTGAAATTTGCCAGAATTTTCATAAATAAAGAATGAATGGAAGAGATATTAATGAACACATTTTAAAAATTTTCGTATTTTTATTTTTGACTACAGCTTTTTTTAATATATGCGCTGAAGAAATTTTATATGCGCTGAAGAAATCTACAGTAACAATTTATCATTATTAAAGAAAATCAGACTGATAAAACTTTTCATTCATGAACTTTGTTTTTTTGAGAATTTAATTCTTTATTTCTTCGATAATCTTGGAAATTTATTGATTTAATCAATTTTATTTGGGTTTTACAACAAATGTATATCAAATGTGCTAAATGTACATAAATTACTTAAAATAGCAAATAAGTTCTGTAAAAAGTCTAACTAATCCAATCAAGCCATTACTCATTTTCTAGTTCAGTCGTAAGAATAATGATGTTTTTTGAAAATCTGATTTAAGAACTGATCACTTAAATATCTTAAGAACTGTTTTTTTATTTGAAGATGCTTGAGTGATATAGCAAAAAATTATGAGTGTGTAAAACAACTCTGTTTCATCAATCATCAGTTTATGACTTCATTATTGATAGAATTTGAAATCGTTCCATAAGGGCGAACAATTTAAAACTGACAAAAGTAATGTTTATCAGTAAAGTTAGATGAAAAATTATAAGTTGTACACACTTTAAAATTAGCATCAAAACGGGAGAATTTTCAAATTAAATCTCATTCAACTTCTCGATTTTTAAAGCATTAAAGCTGATGAGTTAAAAATTACTTGAATTTCATATATTTCATCGAAGTCATTGCAGTCTATATCCGACCAATTAGTCCGAAAGTCATTTTTTGCTGAGATCAACATGGACATCATTCTACTCTGTGCATTGCTTGTCTTTATTTACTACCATTATGCACTTGGCACTGCAATGAAACTTCTACCATATTTTTACTGGGATTAATTGTTTATTTTGCGAGAGTGTATATAATTATTACGGAATAAATTACAAATCATTTTACAAATGTATAAAAACTATGTTGCATAGCAGCCACACAGCCCAATTTAACTACAAGAGTGTTTGTTCTGCAATTTGGTGATTTCAATACAGAATAAAATTACTATAGCAAGAGTTCTTCAAAAACATTGCGTGGCTGGAAGCAGCTGAATTGGGAAAAACAAGTCATATCTATGTTGAAACTCACTAATTGAAACTCAATTAGTGTTCAACATGGATAGTACTTATAAGTTGAAAACAGCAATAAACTGACAACCACTTGCAAAAGGCTAAAACATAAGAATGGTGAAAATTTCTGAATGGTATGCTAGCGTATCATTTATTCACTTTCGAAATGAAAAAAATTTTTGGAATTAATATTAGTTTGAATTACCCACAAAAATAGAATTGCTTCAAATCAATGAGATTCTGTTAATAAAAGCAGTTGTTTGGTTTTCTTTGGTAACATTAACATTACTTACTCAGTAAGACTACTTTGAAAGTAAAATAAGAAGTTTCTGGTTAACATATTTGCTTTCACGATTTTAAAATGATGCCTTCTATAGGGTGATATTGAATTAATAAATAGAATATTACACTACAATACGAATAACTCTATTTAGTATTTAAAATTATTTTGAACAGCAAACAAAAATAGATAACTAAAATATGCTTCCTTCAATAAGATACTGATTTCGTATAAAAGAAGAAAATTAAATATTACAGCAGTAATTCTTAAACCGGTAAATGATTATTGCAAAGTAAACGCCTGAAATGAAATCTGTTTATAAACATATCTAACCAGAAGTATTTCTCAGAAAAAGAAATAAGCTGTTTTTTTTTCTTTTAATTTTGCTACTTCAAAATCTAAACACGTATTCAGAAACAGCAGAAGATTTGGTATGTTTCCACTGTTCACAAAAAAAAATTAATTTGCACAAGAATAAGAAATTTACAGCTTACAAAATTTAACGCATACACGTATAACAATGCATTCCAAAATTGCAGAAATTGACAGTCTCCTTGTTTAAAAAGCAAGTTGAACTACAAAGAATTCACAGAAAAAAGGTTTGAGTTTTCCCAACATATATTACTCTTATTTCTTCAAAAAATTCAGTAACAGTATTACTGATTAATACACAATACGTTATCATTGAAGCAATAAAAAAATTGCGTAAATTTTCTGCATAGATACGTCCGTCTCGTCCATCAATGAATTACTTTTGAGACTACACAAACTTTATATAGAAAAGATATCAAAAACAAAATAATTTTGTACCTGGTTGAATGATTAACTTTGAGAAACTATCATTGCAGTGATATAAATAATTAAAACTTCATTAATAGGTTTTCACTTCATTAATGCTTGATAAGAATTATCTACAAAACCAGATATATTATAATAATATCTACTTGCTCATCATTTGAATAAATTTCATTATTTCTGCTCCGAATTCAAAAATTTTATTTATTACCTTTTTCAAGCGCAGAGATTCCAGTTTTTTTTGGTCACATTTGTGCAACTTCTTCTGTAAGATAACTTTTAAATATTGATCATGAATAAGCTTCATAACTGGTTTCTGTTTATTAAAATTTAAAATTCCATCATTTGAAATAAATACATTTTCCAGCTTAAAAATAACAAAGTTAGACAAACATTTTTTAGAAAGACATTTTCTATATCAAGGATTCACTGATAATTCAAAAAACAAAAAAACAAAAAAAAAGAAAACGAATTGCAATTAAGTAAATTAACAAATTAACAAGAGAAAAATAGTCGCACTAAGTCATTTAAATCAGTAAATGAAGTAAATGAAAACGGGAAATATACCGATGTTCTTATTTATTTTATAGTTTATTTATTAGCTCACCACATATCTGATTACTTAAATAATTGTTAAATACTTTAGTGTAAAATATGTGAAAAAAGACATTTGAAAATTGATGAAAAGCGTTTTAGAGTGAGATAAAAGCAAAAATGAATAAGACAGGGAAAGCAAAGATGTGAAAATGGCAGTCAAATTAGTTGGTGCATTTACGACAAGCAGATGAGTTAAAACTTTCGGAAACAGGTGCCTTAAATAACAATTGTTTTTCCGCACAGATTTAATCTTTATCTTGAGCTATGAAAATTTGCTAGATGCAACTAGCATAGAAAATGAAATAGTAAAAAAAATGAATAAAAGATATGCAATGCAATTATTTTTATTATTTGATTTAAACTGCCTTTGCAATAATTTCACTTCATCAACTAACTGCCACTGAAAACTAAGTCATTTGAAATGTCTGCAATAAATTACCAACTTTGACCTTGTATAAGTCTCGAATAATCGAGAAATTGACTTTAATGATCAAGGTATGAAAAAATTGAACAATATTTATTAGAGTACAACAGATCATTCATTTCACTTTTTGCTCCTTACATAGTCATGTAATGAGTTTTTTGTTGTTACAGCATTAATTATATTTAAAGCTTTTCCACCTTCAATCAGTTGTATATTTATGTTAATAATAAATCTCAATTCTGAAAATTTAACGAAATTGATTTAATAGTATTTGATACTAGTTTCTTTATGTCTCTTGTAAATTTTGTAACTAATTCATAAAAATGATTACTATAATCTAAATTAGTCATCAATAGTCTTTGTCCTTATTAAACTATACGTGTAAAGTGCTGACTCTTTATAATTAAAACCAATTGGAAAATTATGTCTTCATTAAAATTTGTTTGGAAAACAATTGAGGATAATTTTTTTAAAAAAGAATTATTTATTATATTATGCTTATTTCTGATATTGCATTCCTGTATCGTGCATTTTTTAGATAAATTAAAAAAAAAAACTTAAATTAAAGTCAGGCTCGATAATACGAAGGTTTTTTTTATGTGTTTGAAAAAAATTTTTTGGAAAAGTCAATTTGACATTTATTTTTACAAATATTAGTTCATTAATAGATTTTATCCACAGGAAGTTGAAAAACTTTCATATTGCATCACCGAATAGGTAAAAGCAGAATTAAAAATTATTTTAAAACTTAATTAATGTCAGCCTTTGACTAGTGAAACTTCAACTTAATTAATAATTGCAAAAGAAATAGCTGCAGTAATGATTTCATCGAGAAAATTTTTGTGCTCAAGTACGCAACTACAGCATGGGTAAAAAATGATGAAAACAATTTACGTTAGAACTGCTAATAATCATATTTATCGAATCTTTTTATGATATGGTCGCATTTGGAAAAAGAAGTTGGATTTAGACAGTAAGCAATTATTAGTTTTAGAAATAATAAAATTGATGAAATGAATTTCGATTCTAAAATAATATTGAATTTGATCATTGTTTGACATCCTTTTAAAATTTATTCACTTTTAATTTAAGGCAGTTATAACAAATCCTAAATTTATATTTTATAGAACTTGAACTCTAAACATTAGTGATGTTAGTGAGTGAAAAATGATGCCAGTGACTAATACAGCTGACATCATTTAGAAACACTTTCAATGTAAAATTTAAAATAAATAAGCTAAAGCATGCATATTTTTTAAATAATAGCCAAGATATTATCTACTGAATATTTAATTAAAGGCAAATTATAAGTTTAAATTTGAATTTTGAAATATTTTACACTTCCCTTAAATTCACATGTCACCTTTAAGATGCAAATATGCGATTTATTTATTTATTTATAACTGTAATTTGAAAATCTTAAAGCTAAAAAAGTATTGTATTACTATTGCTATAATAAATGAAGGGCATATTTTTACTTGGAATATTATCTTTTGGTTCAATAATTTGACACCATTCAAACATATTTTAGCTTAAAAATCAAAAATAATTTTTTTTTTTCAAACAGTTGACACTTCTCGAATATATTTTAGCTAAACCAACAATTTGAAACCGTTGAAATTTATTTTAGCTTAAGAGTCAAAGAAGTTTTTTTCAAATCAAATTTGATAAAAAAACTGCATCACCTGACTGATTCTAAAATAATTCACGAAAAATTAATGCATGAAGACTGATAACATTAGAGATAAAGCAATTATTGAAGTTTAACTAAATTTTAAAATTTAATCAGCGGTGAATGGAGACGCAACTTACTTTGATAATTTATAAAGATGTAAGCAACAACGGAAAATTGGAACTCAAAAAAATGAAAAAAAATGGAGAGGATTGTCAGCGTGCAATATGTTTCTTCGCATAACTGCTTGTAATAACATTTATTTGTTGTGCGAATATTTTTTGTTAAAAGAAGGATTTTCCGCAACTAATTTTTTGATGAAAATCATTGCCACATAATTGAAATGAAGGAATATTACAAATTTGAGAAAGGCTACACTAAACTAAAAAGAAGCAGATATGATGAAAACATTATTAAAAAATGTTCAAGCATTAAAAATAATATTGGAAAGAAATCATCTTTGAGCTGAAAAATAGTTTAAAAAATTTCTGGAGCAATCAAAAACTTATGATGTATAGTTTCTTTTCTTTATATCCAAGAGTAAAAGAAAATAGTAAAGACATGAAGAAAGACCAAAATGCACTTTTTAGTTTTTTGAAGTTTCTAAAATTTGCCTAATGCATGGGGCAGTCATGTAAATAAATGCCTGCTTTAGTATCATATATTATTTGAGTTTCCTTCCATAAAAAATAAATAACTAATCAATTAGATTAATAATTTTAATAATAAATAAACAACCAAATAAACTAATCAATTATTATGATAATAATATGAATAATAATAACATAAAACTAATACATGTCACCTCAAATATATATTTGTGTGCATAAATTTAAGAAATATTTAAGGAGTTAATAATAATAGGGAACGAAAAACTGTGCTTAAACGAGCTTTTGATCGCTTTCTTATCAGTAAAAAATACTGTCATCACAAGTAAACTTAGCAAATGGAAGATTACAGCATTCTCACAACAATGTTCCAGTGAGTGAGTAAAGTGAAATCGAAATCTTTTGAGACGTAAAAACTTTATGAATATCATTCTAAGATGGTGAAATTATTTGAAAATAAATAATGCAATGCATCACACTTGAAGCAAACCATAAAAGTAACTGAGAAGTATATCTCATGAACGTATCTCAATGCATTCTTTTTATAAAATTAGATCAAATTTAATAAATACGAGCTCTTTTCCATGCATTATCTCTATGTCAGCAATGCTATGACCATAGTCTTTAGCGAATTATTAAGGTGGAAAGTGATACTCTTATGGTCGGTGTGAAATACAGCCATGCAAACTGTTGGTCTAACTAAAGAAGTTATGGTATGTTCGGAAGTCTGGAATGTAAAAATAATTAATTAAGGCATTGTGTTACAGTTACAAAACGTCCATTCCATTCCTTTCATTCTTGTTTTTGTTTTTTCGCCTTATAAATAAACAAACACCCTTGTACTGTTGCTTAAAAGTAATGCAATCATTCATTTTATACTATGATTTGTTAAAAACCTTTGCACTTTAAATGATTGGAAAATACTACGGAACAAAAGAAACAAATGGATATGAAAAAAGAAAGAAAAGCCATTCCAATACAGTTAGACGAAGAAAGAAATTTGGTTAGCATTAAAATTATTGCGAAATATCAATTGTCATTGATAGTCAGTAATTTACACCTAATGCACTTGATCGATTGGCGTGAGGTCTTCTACTCATTTTTTTCTTTTCATTTACAGCACTTGTTGGTAATGTGAAGCATAAGTGCAAAAAAAATTATGTAAATTTGCATATTCAATAAATCTTTCAATTTAACTTGCCCAGATATATAAATCACAATAGTGTTAGGCTATTCATTTACAAGGTTCGAACCACTCTGATTAGTTGGTATTGTCATCGCCAGTTGCGGTCTACGGATTTTCGGTTTACGGTTTACAGTTACGGTTTACAGATTTTATTGAGATATTTTGCATCTTTCTCATAAGTAATCTAGCCTTAGTTATTTGTAGGTTCTAAATTACATAAAGTTAATATAATGAAAGATAACCGACAATATCCGTGAATTAGCTTTATTGCAGTTAGGTTTTTTTTGTTAGTCATATAAGAATGCCGAAAATAAAAATTATTGCGTTATTTAGCAAAAATTTTTTACAGAAGTATCAGTGATGGCAAGCAAAAATTATATGTCTTTTTTCGAAGAAAAGAAACGAGCTCGACAGGTAACTAATATACTTTGATTCAAAGTTTGATTCAAACATGCTGCCAAATCATACTTTATTATTCGTAACAAAATTTTAAAATGGTCAAGAGTCAACGATATGAATGTGTTTACTAATTTTTAATCGCACAGTTACATCACTTGTGTTTACAATAAATATTGTAAAATTTGCACATATCGATTTGTGAAAAATTTGCATATATTGATTAGTTTTTTTGCTCACTAGTTTATCAGAACGAAAGACTATATACAGTAGCAGTTAAAATGAGCATCATGAATGTCTTCCTACAAACATCTTAAAAAAACATGTTGCATTGATCAGATTTGAAATGAATATTTTTTCAAAGCATTGTGCAAATGCATCAACTTTTAATTTATATAAGATTGTTATGAACAGAAGTTCAATTCTGAATTAATAAGAAAAAATTTCAGAAGAAATAACATAGAAAATTACTTTTGGTAATGATTTATTTCTAGATGAGTAAACTAGAAGTAGAGAGGAATAACTTACCTATTACGTCTGTAACTTACCTAGTACTTGGTTTTGATTAGTAAAATAACGCGAAGAACAACAAAAAAGTAGATCATTCAGGTTCTCAATGATGAAAGGTGCCAGAAGAATAATAACTCATCGCTGGCTCATAAAACATTAAGCGAGTATCAAGAGGAATTTATCAGGAGAAACATTGAACTATACGAAAAGCTTCAAAAACTCAACAAAAAAGAAGTACCATAAATCTTGCCGCATTACTTTCAATTTTTGATTGCAATAGTTCTTCACTGCACCGATGAACATTCTTTGAATATACAAATTTTTTATGTTACTCTTGTTGACATTTTACTTATTTTGCATACAGTAACAAAAATATTATTTTTCAGTTAGCTCAAGGATTTGAGCAAATAAGAAGTGCAAGAGATGAGATCAAACAAAAAATTGAGGAAATAACAAAGTGGATCGATATCGGTTGGAAAAAGCTGCATGAAATTGAACATGAAGTGGATAGAGATTCTGTATATTCTGCGCAGAAATTAGAGGAGATTAACAGCTATTTAAATACTGTGACTCAAACGAAGGAAACAATAAATCTGCTCTTGAACATCGTAATCAAGCATTTTGCATTCTCTTATTTCAATACGATTTGATTTATTTTCAGTTTAAATAGTATGCGCATATAATCATACCTAAATTTTGCTTATTGCCTCACAGTCATTGTTTGTTTTCTTTTGAGTAAAAAACAAACTGATTTACTTTAATCATAAACTGAAGCTAAGCTTAAGCATACAAAATTCCAAATTTTATGGACAGAAAAGCTATATTTAACTTTTGAAAGTTGTAAAAGTTTATTGTTTTGAAAGGCAACGGGATACAAGCGATCGAATATTAGGGCAAAATTGAAGAGAAAAAAGCCGAGAAAGGAAGGAAATCAGTTAAAACGCAGTAAAAATGAATTAGAACTTCAAAAGTCTGAAGAAGAGATGTATGAGACGATTGTGCAAGAAGTAGTTCCTTACTTTTCACTAGTCGCATTAATTAAAACTAGTAAAATTATTTTATCACCACATCTTGGCAGTGGATAACATTTCGAAGTTCATCCTTAGAAAGAAAAATGTTTTTGTCAATGACATACACTGTAGTCAATATATTTGTGTACCTAATAAATGATTTTAAACAAAGTATAGCCAGTAAACAGGATTTAAGTATTGACTTGATCACTTGAAAGACACTAATCAAGAGGTTTTTTTAAAACTTTTAAATCAAAACCAAATTTGATTCTAAGACAAAACACAACAAATTAATCCATATGTTTTCGATTCAATAAATTATGTATTTACAGTGCAAATTAACCACAAGTAATTTTAAAAAGCACATCAGTCATCATCTCATTCTTCATGTCCAATTACCAGCACAGTTGCACATCTGTAACAGCTTATGTAGGCAAAAATAATTTCCGTCTTGAATTGTAGAGTTTGGTAGTGAATATTTCAGAAAATTTGCTATAACAGATTTTACCGGTAAGTTTTATATACTTTTGTAATGCTTAGTTTTTAGGATTGGTAGCGCTTAAACACTTAAGAATAGCATATTTTAGTTTCTGGATGTGGAATATGAAACTTGGCATCAAGAACTGCACAAGAAATGTGATGCAAATGGAAAATGAACGATGAATGATAGCAAATAGAAATAAGGTGATTTCCATAAAATGAAATGAAAAATTTTTTTCATAATTTTTTTCAGTGTTGATCGCTTAGTTTTTTGTTAGCAGTTTGTTCGTTTTTTTATATTTGAGAAACTGTTTATTGAATAGAGTGATAACAATAGTAGATCATTTAAAAAAGGATTAAAGTTACATCTGTAGCAATAAGTTGACATAGAAAAAGCATCATAAAATAGAGCTGAACAAAATTTTGACAACTTCAGTATTTTTTGATTTGCCAATAGAATCAAAAACTGAATGCCTGAATCCAAAGCTGTTCTTGAAGGAAAACGAATCATTGAAACCTTATGAAAATGACAATTGATCAAAAGCTGATTTTTTTTGGCATTATATAAAGTTATTTCAACACTAGGTACGGTCAATGTGAAGGAGAAGTATTAGGGTTGAATATTTCACTTTATATAGAATAGAATACATTCCAAATGACAATAGTTGAATTTCACAACGCATGAATTCATTTATATTCTTGTCTGTATGTTACTCTATCTACCAGTTTGGAGTTATTGTTTTTTTATAAAAATATCTATTAGTTTGGAGTTGTTTTTTATAAAAATATTTTTTTGATATTGAATTTGTGTTGCTAAAAGATGTTACTTTCATGTTTGTAAAGTGATATTTGAGTGGCAATAAATCCAATATTTTTCTTGAAGAATAAAAAATACAGCGATATAATAGTTATTTTAATGGAAACTGTGCAGAAAAAAATGACCATGAATTAAGGTAAAGCAGCTCGAGAGATATTTTAGCTGCCTCTGATTGAAAGTGATTTATTAGTACTTTCCATGTGTTTCATTTTTTCTAAATTTGAGCTGGAATACGTTTGGGCTCAAATTCTCAAATTTAAACATGCAAATGAAATTTGTTCGTTAACTGCTTTAGAAAAATTACTTTTTACAGGCTCAATTTATATATCTTTTAAGTTTTTTTTTTCTAAATTAATTATTTATTTGCACTGAAAGCCTGATATAACATTAAGTGATAAATTCCTGCCCTGCGTTTGAGAAAGGGGATAAGTGTGGGACAGTTTATGATTTTGGACTTAATCACTATTGCTGTTCCTTGTTGCGTGAGCATCGCATAGTTTGTAACGAATCCACTGAAGCGTTAAATCACTTACTGCGAGAATATGAATTTTTTTGTGAAATAGTTGGACTTATTTTCCATTGCGCATTTCATTTTTTATCACAATTTTTCAAGGGTACTGTAGAATGCATATTGATATGAATGAAAATAGATTCTTCATAAAGTACCAGTAATTTGTTCTCGATCATTATATTCCATTTTTTAAACACTTCACACATGATTTTTATTCCATGTTTCTTGTGGATTATGATATAGTGTGCATTGTTAGAATGACTTCGGAAGCAATAAGAAATATTATTAAATGCTTTTTGAAATGCCTAAAAAGTAATCCAAATCATTAAAATACAATTATTTTCAACTTTTTTTCACTTTATGTCATCACCAATTATCTTCAAGCATTGTTTTAAATTACTTTCAAATATTTACTGTGGGCAGAAAAACAGAAAAAAGCAGAAAAAAATTTAATCCTACAAGTTTATAAATATTTAAAGTATCATAGACAATGCAAGTAATCTTACTTGGCACATGAATAAATGAAAGATTTTTGGGTAGAATTTTTCGCTTATGGTCATGAAATATGAATGAAAAATTCTTAATTATAGTGCAATTTCATTTTACTTTGATCCAGTGTCTTGGAGCGAACACGGCACAAAGTTGGAGCTGTAAAGCTCTCACAGTTTATAAAATAGTCCTAAGCAAAATCACAATTATACAATTATATTTGTATTCCAGTCGATAATAGTCATTATTGCATTATCTATTGGATTTTGCTGTGATTTGCTTCTATTACCTCATTATCTAAATAAGTTTTGAGGGATTAATTTTAAAGCTTTTAATTATAAAATGTTTTTATTACATTTTTGAAGTATCGATTTATTGAGAGTGCTTTTCTATATGCAAGTGCATAGCAGTCAGTTTAAATGAAATAAATACTCATACTGGATAAGCTAATCTAAGGTACCAATTAACATTTAAATAATATTCTCTTGAATTAATTGATAGAATAAAGACTGCTATAATCTCAGCAATCACATTTATTTGCATCAATTCTAGTTTACAAATTTTTTTGTTTAATTTTGTTTATTCGTAACCAAAATCGAATGAAGTTAGCAATTACAGCGGAAAATGTTATTTGAAATCATAATTAAATTGCAACTATGTCAAAGCAAATAAGTAATAAAGTAAAGAAAAAGATGCATAAAGAAAAGAATAAATAATCAGTTGCTCATGAACAGTACAATGTATTATGTGTGCAGTTGTGTGCTGAAGCATAAAATGATACAAACAGGATTATGAAGGGATGTAGATGAGGCGAACTACACGAGGCCAGAACGAAACTACCAATGCCAGTACCACTAACTAACGAATACTGAACTGCCTTCAACACCAACTACTAATTGACTTCCTCTTAACTACTTTAACTTTCACTACTAGCAATCAAAACTTCTTTACTCAAAGCTATATTAATAAGAATAACCTTAGTGGTTCCATCAAGCCAAAAATCAGATGACTTTCACTTTACCGTATCCCTTCGGCATTTTTGCAATGATTGCATTTTCAGGACAGCGAAAGATAATTGATTTTCCATCTCTTCTCATTCAAATTGCGGATACTTCTCAAAACATTTTCAATACTTCCTCTCTGCTTCTCTTCATTCTATATTCTTTAAGAAGGAGCAAATGCTACAAAATCTGATATTTACAAAAGTACGGCTTGCATTTTTTTAAATAATACAGTATTAAATTATTTGAATTGTAAATTGTTTGTCTTTGCTTATATCAAGGAAAGTGCTCAACTATAAAGCACTATGATGCTATTATTGAAGCCGAATTGTAATTTCTGCAATTCATAGTCAAAGAAAGCACAAGAAAAATGTTCAAGATAAGTTGCGAAAATAATTCATTAATCCTCATATCATTTACGTTTTTTTTTTTGAGCTGCAAAATATTATACCACTAACTAGAATAATGTTTTCTCATTACAGTTAGGTGTAACCTTTAGTACTCAACTTTTCTCATGTTTTGATCTTAGAGGTAAGCATGTGCATTTGATTTTAAGCTTGCTACATAATTTTACTAAATTTTTTATTAACTTTGTTTATAAATATATGATTTAAAGTGAAATAATTCTCATCAAACTCATTAATGTAGTGGTAATGAAAGTGAAAAAAATTTAGAACAGGTGGTCATAGATGATGAATGACTTGTAAGCTGATTAACTGAAGCTCGTTAAAGTATTGTGAAAAGAAGATCCATGTAAAATGTATGTAAAGAAGATGGCAATTTGTTGAGGTTGATGATTATTTCGGCATGCATTAATATTGTTCATGCTTACACGCTTCCGCGATCAAATATAATTCTGAATTGACGATTAATGTCTTGTGCTGTGAATGAATCTTCTTTGCAGCGCAGGTTGAATCTATTCTGTTATGCTCTATAAATATTGCTTTTTGCATTCCGGTTTTCAAAAACTTCTATTCACAGTCTCCAGAAAAACCTGTATGCAAACTTTTATGCTTGTTGTTGTTAATGTTTTTGTTTCAAACATATTTTTTCGCATTTTAAAGACTGTTGTAATGTTTTGGAATGATGAATTATTTTTAAAAATTATTGAACTGTGGTAATTACCACAAATTATTACATTTAAATGATGAAAATGGATTTAAGAATTATTTACAGTATATTAGCATTTCTTAAAATAATGTTTCAAATTCTTGTGCAAACAGACAATTTTGTTTGTTTGCATAACTTTATCAAATATTTTTTCGTACCAAATGTTATTTGTGTTTGCAGAACTACCATGTTGTTTTTTGTTTAGTAGTGAATGTATTGGCAGGCAAGAAGGAAATAAAAAATTAATGATGTAGTTACATTAAAAAATTTATTGCCATCAAGCTTTTATTTTATTTAGCTTCATGTTATAATGTACTTATCACATCATTGAAGTAAAAGTTCGGAAAAAAAATGAAATTCTATCATTTCAAGCTTTTTTCTTAATTAGATACAAATTTCTTGTTGAGTAATTTAAAGAAAATAAACAAACAATTATACGATATGTTGAAAAAACAAAGAAAAGTTCGTAATAAAAATAATGATTACAGTATAATGAATGAACACACTTTGTTAGATACAAATTGTAATTGAAAAAAGTCAATTTTCTTGTAAATAAAACAATGTACTACTATTTAGTAGATCAATTATTGTTTTTGTAAATCAAATAGGTCATTATCTAAATGTGATAGAGAAGATTAACTCTTATTTGTAATGGCTGTATTTGATT